AAAAATAAAATCATTAGCATGAATATGGGCCTAACTGGTTTTAAATTTTATTTGGATCCGTAAAATATGGCCCCTTCAGCCCAGTCCAACCTTTGCTAAGTGTGTGGTTGGGCCTAGATATTTGAATTTTAGTTTAGACCAAGACTACACAACACCAACACATGTGAATTAGCCTTGAATTTTAAATATCTATTATATAGGTCCAACATTACACTTAGCCCAGTAAAGATTTATAGGTCTAATCCGTGCAATTTCACACAAGTGTTTTTTTCTCTCAATTGATATATATTCGTTAAATTTGCATTCTTTTATATTAAAGAAACATTTTTATTATTCAATTGTGGGATCCTTTGATTGGCATGGGTTATAAAAATAAGGGTAAACTACAACAACATATAATTTGTTGTGATAACGAATTCAATATATTGAATTATTATCCCTCAGTCCCAAAATATTTTGAGGTGTTTGGATAAAGGGTTTTCAATACTTTTTGAGTAATGCTCCTGAGAGGACTCTCACGTTAGAAGAGCCGTGAGCTTTCCTTTTTAAACCATAGAATTGAAATAGATTTTTGAGATACTTAAAAAGTTAAATAAATTATTTAATGCAATCTTTAAAATAAAAAAATAAAAAAAAAAGAGGCAACTTTCTTTTGGCAGTACATACAGGGGAAATTGTGCAGTATATATAGCATTGTCATTGTCAAAATTAGCGTCCGGAGTTGAAGGAAAATGGTTTTTTAGTAGTTTCTTGGAGATTTTAATATTGCAAGAAAAGTATCCGCGTACTTGGCACATGACTAATTAGTTGTACTAAATACCAAAAATCCACTTTTTTGATTTCAAAAATGTCCGTGACCCTTTTTGTATATAAAGGTCATAATAGTCATTTTACATTAATGAAATTTTAGACTAATTTTATCTTAATTGTAGGAAGGGTGTTTTTGTATTTTTTTCGCTCCATTAATGACCAAATGAGGGGAGGTCCTTGTGGTCCTTGTTTGTCTCTAAAATAAACGGGGTTTTTTCAGAATATATTGTGGATTATATGAATTATATGAATTAAATGATAATCCCATATTATAAATAGGGAGTTGGAGTTGATATTTGCGCCTCTACAATAATATTCTATCTTTTCTAAACAAGAATCATATCATTTAAGTAATTTTTTTAATAATATATCCGAATATGAATAGAGATTATTGTTATTTTCTTTATTTTCTTTTATATTCTCCCGTAATTAATGTTATTATTTCTTTTATTTTCTATTCTCTCATATTAATAACTAATAGCATGCAATGAATTCAACATATTTAATTTATGTTATATCCAGATAAGCCTCTTGTTATGGGTTATCATATTTCCAAAGTCAAAATGCTATATATAACCAAAAATAACACCAATTCATTACTTGTGAGTTGTTTATATTAGATAAGCATGTAAACAAATAAATTAGATAAGCCACAAGTTCACAAGACATATCCCTACAGATACAGCGGGATGGCGCAAGGTTGAAGGGATATCTGTATAGGGTAAACCCCTTTTATTGCATTCTTACTACACACCATAAGAAAGGTTTTTGTGACCGTAAAAGGGGATCACAACCCCAAACCCCTAACACTACCTTCCGCAAAACACTAATATTGATAGGCTTATCTGAAAGGATCTTTCCAAAAAGGCTATATATATATTAGACTGCAAAATTTAAAGTTTTAGTAATGCTACAATGTTGAATCAATTTTTTTTACCCTATATCAAGATCTATTGATGAGAAAAAAAATTTAATACCCTTGATAACTTCCTACGTGGTAGCTCCAACCAATGATATCATTTCTTTTCCATAATAGGAAACATGAAGAAAATACTACATTCATAATCCAACGACTCCCACCGCAACGGGATACCATATTCCGGGGCATTTAATATTTTCTCTTATGATTGGTACATGTACCTTGATAATAAGGTTAAACAATGAATGATTGACTGTGGTACTATTTTTCTGAATCCTGATATACTCAATACTTACTCTGTGATTTGGTAGTTGTTACTTATAAAAAAAAGTTTACCCTTTTTCGTAATTTGGTAATTGTTACTAGGGGTGGGCAAATAAATATGCGAATTTGATCTGATCTGTGCTTGGTAAACCGATAGAACGGTGGCGGATTCAAAAAAATTGAATCTGTACATCGCGGAGTGGGCTGTTAAAAATCTGATACCGATTCGTGAAATATATATATATATATATATATATATATATATATATATATATATATATTTTCAAAGAATATATTAGTTAATTTAATTAGTGAATGATAATTTAATGGATTCTAAGAATGTATTAACTAATAATTATTTAAATATATGAATTAATATTAATGAATTAAAATTTTATCTATTGAGTTATGGTTAAAAAATAAATAAATAATAAATAATATTAATTATAAAAATAATAATGAATAATTTAGATAAAACCCAATTTGCGGATCCAATCCGATCGGTTTGATAACGAATCAGTAGTGAATTAAGATGTTTTAATTCGTTGAAAGCTGATCGAATTAAGATTGATATCTAATCCAATCCGTGGCCATCCCTAATTATTACCTATCAAAAAAGTGTACCTTTTATTTATATTTTTATTTTTAATTTATGCATACAAAATGAAAAATAAAAGAATTAAGGGGTGTCTTTTTCCCCCCCCTAAGGCCCCATATGATTCCATCAGTGATTATATATGTTGACTACTTTGATTTTTTTTTTTTTTCGTGGCTATTGACTACTTTGAGTCAAATATGACATCTTTGTTTTGACAGTAGAAAAGTGCAAAGCAAGTTGGTTGAAAAACGTCCATTAAGGACAATTGTGGTCAAGCATGGTCTCAAATTGTCAAGACTGGCGACCAGAATCCAAAGACACATGGTTATATATATATAAATGAGAATTTCAACTCCCCGCGAGGGAGATTCCGGGTTCGAGTCCTGGCAGTGTAAATATCATTTTAATGATTCGTTTTTTAAATTTTATAAAAATTAATTTATTCTTTAATTGTTCTAAACATAATTGATTTGACAAATTTATTGCCTCCTAGAGAAGATCCAAAAAGTAAATTTTTATACAAATTAAGTTATACTCTGATTGTTCTAAAAAAAATTTCATTTCACTAATCCAATTATATTGCCCCATATAGAAGATCCAAAAAGGATTGAAAAATGAGTAGAAGTGTAGTAAACTGCAAAATTGGAGTTCATATGAAACTCCACGCGTGCTTTAAAATTATCAATATATATTAAAAAAATTACATTATTTTGATTTAAAAAGTTGCAAATGATTTTTAAAATTAAAGGGGTAAAAAATTCAAGATATCTAGCATACCACATTCACTTAAATAATGCTTTCAGGGCAAAAAAAAAAAAAAAAAAAAAAAAAAAAAACAACATGAATGAAAAAGTTAAACATAGTGAGAGACTTTTAAGAGATTTATTATTTTGTATTAGTAATGAACAATCACAGTATGTCAATTAAAAAAACCTCACATAACACTCATGATTTGACATTTAAATAATCCCGTAAACCAAGAAGACAATCTCATTTATGTTGCCTGGACCGCTTCTAATTTTGATTGGGATAGTCTTTTGGGAAAATAGTGGATCTGTAACTAACTATATATGTTTGTTGGTGTTTCAAGAAATAATAATAATAATAATAAACACTAAAATTCACGTGTGGTGGATTTTTTAATTCTTTTGATTTGAATGTCACGTGAGTGCTACTTGCTGTTTCGTGATGATAAAGTTTAGTTGTGCTTTACCACTGAATGCTTCATCTGCCGCAGTAAAAAATGTAGTACCAATATATATCAGTATAATTATGATACTATCTATGAATTTATTTGATGTGATATTACAATTGTAATATTATTTATGAATTGTATGCATTATATGTACCAGTATGGGATTATGACATATTAGGAACGGATTAACTAAAAACGTTAAGTAATTAGGGTATTGGTATTTGCTCTTTCGGATGAACTTTTTGTCTATTATTATTTATTTCAGATATATACACGTATGTTCAGGTACATGCGTTACACTGAAATTGAACCTGCATTGTGAGGAATACAACCTCGGCTCTGTCACAGCTTTTTTAATTTTTGAAGATCACACAAGCATCCGCAAAATAAGGTTTCGTTTGGTTAGCATGAATTAGTAGTAGTCAAAAATGGAAAGAAATGATTTTTTTTTTTTTATAAAAAAAAAATTAGGGATATGGTTAACGTTAAAATGATAGTTTTCAAGAAAATAAAATTATCGAAAATTTTAGTTTTCCATGAAAATTATATCATTATATTATAATTTTCTATTATACCCTTGTCAACTGTCTTTCTTCTTTCTTTTCCAAACTCAAGAAAAAATTGAGTTTTCTTTGTGATAAATTTGGACTATGTTATTAAGTTACACCTTCTTACATTTTAAATTTCTCCATCTCACAAATGAAATAAACTAATTTAATATAAAAAAAGTCTTAGTATATATATATATATATATACACATTTTTAATATGCGAATTTTCAAGACAAAAAAAACCCCTAGAGAACCAACTACCAAATAGGTATTTGAACATCTATATATATGTACATTCATAAATCCAATTATGTATATTTTATGCCTATTGCATGGTGTATATTACTTAGTATGGAGCACCTAAAATTTCATTGGTAAATAAATTGATGGAAGAACTAATGTGAAATTGCACCGAGTGGACCTAGACCAATTGATTTTATGAATGAATTTTCAGCAAATAGATTATATATTTTTGGAATGGAATTGGTAATATGAAATCTGCCCTAGCCAACATATCAAGGGATATTCAACTTGTTTAAGATGTTCTTGTATGGAATCCCGGCAGAGGAATTTTTTTTTATTTCTTTACTTTAAAGAGAGAGCCTGAACCCTAGAAACTCCATCGAACTCCAATAATCATCGAATCAGAGAGAATCGCGAGAGAATGCAAAAACTCGGCATTGCCGATCGCTCTCTGAAACTCAACTCTCTCTCAGTTCAATCGCAGAACCCCTCAGCCTCTCTCTCCTCTGCCGCTGCCTTCTGGACCCCCTCGCAGCTCTTCCCGGTACTCCATTGCCTCATTTCCACCCATATATAGCTGATTGATTGTCTGTTCCAGTTTAGCTTATGGATATATTTCACTTTGATTGTTATTGTTGTTTTCTAGTCAATATTTTATGGGTTTCTAAGGATAGGGTCATTTGATTTTATTAATATTGATTTTTTGTTTTTGTTTTTGTTTTTTTTTTTTTGGGGTAACTAAGAATTAACCCACCTGCTAGCCACTTTGGCCCATTCCATGGTTTGCGAACTTTCAATATGTACAATCACTTGCAAATCATGTAAGCCCGGGTGTTTTGAATTAAACCTAAACTCGAAGTGGAGAGACCTAAAGAGTAACCCAACAGAGCTGCCTGTGTGGGCTTTGATTAATATTGATCTTAGACCACGAATAAATAAAGAATGGGTTTTGGTAGTTATCATGGTGTAGTTAGTCCTCAATGTGTTTTGGTAGTTATAATTGTGTAGTTGGTCCTCAATGTGTTTGCGCGCACACACTCCCACAACATGCCCCTTCGAGACTCGAACTCTCAACAAAGTTAAGTTATACCATCGTGACCATCATCTCAATGCTAATGTCATATCATCTCAACAAAGTTCCCTTGGCATCATTCCTAGCCAGCAATTCCCTCTTGACTCACAAGACCAGAACCTCTTTGAAATCCCAATTACATGTCAGTACATAGCATGGTGAACATCCGCTTAAATGGCTGGTACGTAGTAGTGTGGAATGTTCTACCTAGAGGGTTCTTGGTTTTCAGCGGTTCTCAAGTTGTTGTGTTGATCAGTTTTTGCAAATAGGGTATTTTTCGATGTTGACAAGTGTAGAGGGAAGTTTTAGTTGTGTTTTGAACTTTTATATGAATTGAATTAATGTTGATAAAGCTGTGCATTGGTATTTTTCTCCCTTTTGGTGGGAACTAGGATTCTGCAACACCAGTTAGCTTCTCTGAAGCACCTTTGGCTAAGAAAGATAAATCTTTGGATGGTGAAGTTGATTTAATGAGGGAGGGATCCAGGCCAGAGGTTTACACAGAAGAACATGAAAAGCTGCTGGGAAGCATTGAGACTCTATTTGTAGATGGATGTGACAAGGATGGGAGGCGAATTTATGATCAAGTCAACGGAAAAACTTGCCATCAGCGCAGGTCTGGGGTTTTATCCACAAAATTGGTTTACCTAGGTTGAAGTGCATTTCATTTTTTGCATATTGTTAAGAATTTCTTTACAAATCCATATTCTGAAAGATTGTTGGGGAAAGAAATTCCTCTGTTTTGTATGATTATGTAATATGTATAGAATCATTGAAATGCCTTCCTTAAACATGTAGGCTTGACTTTGCTGGATTCTGTATATTCATCTTCATTCATATATTTTGGCAAGGACTATATTTGAGCATCTTTATTCACTTGTCAAAGTTAGTAGCTAGAAAATTGCATCAGGTGTTGTTTAAGTTGAGTTCTATTATTACTAATTTCATTCTCTTGGTATATATATATATATATATTATTAACTTCATTTCATTGAGAATTTGGATTAGCCTATGAGGATGCTTTCCTTGCTTTGAAGCTTGATGAAGAGGGTTTTTGAATTTTCTTTTAAATTTTTTTGGGATCTTGTTGATCAATTAAGCTAACTATGGGGTTTTATCATTGTAGTGTAGTTTGAGCTAAGCTCGTCCATTTCCATATTACTTTTAGTATTGATTTTACCATATTCATATCTTTGTACTTCTTCTTCTTCTTTTTATTTTTTTATTTTTTATTTTTATCAGGTAAGTACTCACACAAACATTGCCCACGCCCGGGCTATCTTTTAAAATTTTGCGATTTAAGGTCAGAAGTATTTGTTTTAAAGTTAAAGTTGTTAAATAGTTTTATAATAGTGTTTCTATTTCTAATTTAACTAGATCAATTAAATAGTTTTGTTAAAGTGTGTTTGCTTTCCTTTCTTAGTTGATTCTGATATTAGGAATAAAGCAAACACACTAAGATTTGATTCAAATCAATTTATTAATGTTTAAAATGAATCCCTTATTTTTATTTTTATCTTTTGGATATTGTATTGTTGAAATATTTGATTTCAAAGGTCACCGATTTGCATTCCCCATTAACTTTTGCCCTGGACCGTAGATAGTTATTCACTTTTGCTTAATTGATGAATTTCACATGCTGTTTCGCACCCTTGGTCATCGTACTCACTGCAGCAAATGCAACTTGGTTCAAGGACAGTTTTGTGGAGATTGTTTATATATGAGGTATATATTTAATTATTTCATAAGAACAATATTAAGCTCCCATGCATCAACCTCAGTTTAATTCTTCTTTATATTGCGGAGTACGCAGGCAGACGTTGTTTACGACAAAAATATACAAAAATGACAATATTAGGATACTTTTGTATATTTAGTGTTTATATACAAAAATGACATTGCGGAGTACGCAGACGTTGTTAGCGATGGTGATGGTGCGTTGATGGAGGATCAGATTTGCTGATATACCACAGTAATACATGCGCTCGAACATTTCATACACTGCATAAAACACAAACAAATAAAATAAAATAAAATAAATAAAAAGTTAAAAAGTGATTACTTGAATCATAATAAATTGCAGGTAAGAACAGATAGAAGCTTATAGATATTTCAATTTTGTATAAAGTTAATCAGTTTGACTGGTTTTATCTTGTGAATCTGATAACTTATTAAATAAGGATGTTAGATTTCTTTTTATTAAAAAAGTCATAATAAAAGGTAATTTGTGGTAAGTTTTAGAAAAATTAATTAATTTTTTATACCAATTAATAAATATTTTTTTATATTAATAATTCTTATCTAATTAGATTTTTTTTATTAAAAACTCATAATAAATAGATAAGTAGATAATTTGTGGTAGAGTTTTATAGAAACTCTTTTAAAAACTATTTTTATATCAATTAATAAATATTTTTTTATATTAATAATTCTTGTCTAATTAGATTTTTTTTTCTTAAAAAACTCATAATAAATAGATAAATAGGTAATTTGTGTTAGAGTTTTATAGAAATTATTTTATTTTCTTTAAATATATCATTGTCTAATTAGATATTCTTTTATTTAAAAACTGATAATAAAAGGTAATTTGAGATAGAGTTTTAGATAAATTATTTTATTTTTTATATCAATTAAAAAAAAAATTTACATAAATAATTATTGGCTAATTAGAATTTCTTTTATTAAAAAACTCATAATAAATAGATAAATAGGTAATTTTTGTTAGAGTTTTATAGAAACTCTTTCAAAAAATTATTATTATTTTTTTAAATATATCCTTGTCTAATTATATTTTCTTTTATTAAAAAACTCATAATAAATAGATAAATACAGGTTATATGTGATAAAGTTTTAAAGAAAATAAAATAGGCAATTTATGATAGAATTTTATAGAAATTATTTTATTTTCTTTAAATATATACATAATAAATAGGTTATAGGTGATAAAGTTTTAGAAAAATTATTTTATTTTTTACATTAATTAATAAATATTTTTTATATTAATAATTCTTGTCTAATTAGATTTTCTTTGATTAAAAAACTCATAATAAATTGAAAAATAGATAATTTATGTTAGAGTTTTATAGAAATTTTTTAAAAATTTCTTTTTATATCAATTAATAAATATTTTTTATATTAATAATTTTCGTCTAATTATATTTCCTTTCATCCAAAAACTCATAATAAATAGATAAATAGGTAATTTGTGTTAGAGTTAATTGAAACTCTTTAAATATGTCATTGTCTAATGTGATAGAGTTTTATTGAAAATAAAACAGGTATTTTGTGGTAGAGTTTTATAAAAATTATTTTATTTTCTTTAAATATTTCCTTATCTAATTAGATTTTCTTTTATTAAAAAACAAATAATAAAAGGTAATTTGTGGTAGAGTTTTAAAGATATTATTTAATTTTTATATTAATTCAGAAATATTTTTTATATTTATAATTATTGTCTAATTAGATTTTCTTTCATTAAAAAATTCCTAATAAATGGATAAATATGGAATTTGTGTTAGAGTTTTATAGAAACTCTGTTAAAAAAAAATTTATTTTCTTTAAATATATCTTGTTTAATTAGATTCCTTTTATTAAAAAAATAGATAATAAATATATAAATACAGATTACATGTGATAGAGTTTTAATGAAAATAAAATAAGTAATTTGAGGTGCACTTTTATAGAAATTATTTTATTTCAGTTAAATATATTCATAGTAAATATGTAAGTACAAGTTATATGTCATAAAATTTTGTAGAAAATAAAATAGCTAATTTGTAGTAGAGTTTTATAGAAATTATTTTATTTTCTAAAGATATATTCTTGTCTAATTAGATTTTCTTTTATTAAAAAAAACTCATAATAAATAAATAAAAAAATAAGTAAAATTTGTTAGAGTTTTATAAAAACTCTTTTTAAATCAATTAATAAATATTTCTTTTTATATTAATAATTATTCTCTAATTAGATTTTCTTTTATTAAAAAACTCAAAATAAAAGGTAATTTGTAGTAGAGTTTTAGAAATTTTATTTTATTTTTTATATTAATTAATAAATATTTTTATATTAATAATTCTTGTCTAATTAGACTTTCTTTTATTAAAAAACACATAATAAATTGATAAATAGATAATTTGTGTTAGAGTTTTATACAAAATCTTTTAAAATATCTTTTTATATTAATTAATAAATATTTTTTATATTAATTTTTTCTCTAATTAGATTTTCTTTCATTAAAAAACTCATAATAATTAGATAAATAGATAATTTGTGTTAGAATTTTATAAAAACTCTTTAAAAATATCATTGTATAATGTGATAGAGTTTTATTGAAAATAAAATAACTAATTTTTGGTAGAAAATTATACAAATTATTTTATTTCTATAAGTATATCATTGTCTAATTAGATTTTCTTTTATTAAAAAAGTCATAATAATAGGTAATTTGTGGTAGAGTATTAGAGAAATTATATTATTTTTTATATAAATTAATAAATATTTTTTTTATATTAGTAATTTTTGCCTAATTAGATTTCCTTTTATTAAAAAAAACTCATAATAAATAGATAAATAGGTAATTTGTGTTAGAGTTTTATTGAAATTGTTTTAAAAACTCCTTTCATATCAATTAATTAATATTTTTTTATTTATAATTTGAAATAAATATTTTGATAATTTGAATTTTATTAGGAAATTTTTAATTTGAATTTTATTATGTAATTTGAAATAAATTTTTAGGTAATTTGTAATTTGAATTTTATGAAAACTCTTTTATAAAAGTATAAGTGTAATTTGCAATTTTAATTTTATTAGGCAATTTGAATAATTTTTTCAAATTAATAAATAAATATTTTTTTATATTAATAAATAAATATTGAACTACTGAAACAATTAATAAATATTTTTTTATATTAATAAATAAATACTGAAATACTAAAACAACACATTTAATAATAGTATAGATATAAATATAGATATAGATATATATGTGATTAATTTTAACTAGGAATTATTATTAGTTTAATTTTATAATTGGGTTAGTAGTTGGGTTAGGGTAGGAGTATGTGCTAGGTTATATATTTATATAAAAGGGGCTGTGAGGTGGTGGCTGGAACCTGTACGCAGACAAAGCCAAGGAAAATGAAAAAAAAAAAAAAAAAAGAATACATAAAAAGGCAAGTCTTCGTTCTACTGGTTCTCGTTGATTTCGGGTTTGATCCATCTGTAGACTGGCTTTAGGGAAATTTATTTCATGATGAAAACTGATCATAGTAGAGAAGAAAATAAAAATAAAAGGGTTAAGTAGATATATATGTTCATCTTTGTGGCTGTTTGTTGATTGTATCCATATCTAGGAGTGAACAACAGAGGTTGGGTTTGCGAAATCATATGGCAACAGAGGTTGGGTTTGCGAAATCCGATAACCAAATGGATAATTCATGAATGAATTTGATATCCGATTTGCTATTAGTGGGATAATCGGTTCGTTAAGGGTCTAATTTCTTTTTTTTTAAAAAAATAAAAATAAATAATGTTACAAGAATAGGAATTGTTACAAGAATTGTTAATTGTTAATTAATGTTTTTTATATAATCCCGCTGAAGTGGGAGGATACACAATTGCCAAACGGCAGTGTTTCACGAAGGCATTTTACAGTACGATGCCATTTCGTTTGGCAATTTTTATCTTTAGAACGACAATGTTGTGCCGTCGTAATATTGTGCAATTCTAGATATGATAATTTATCATGTTTATTAAAGCTCAAAAAGGAAAAGCAATATGATAATTTATTTTGGAAAAAAAAAAAAAGAATTAATGTTACAAGAATAGGAATTGGAATTAATTATTTTGAGGTGGGCTTGAGTTATGGGGTTTTTACTTCTTAGTAGAGGCCATGTTCATTTGGGCTAAAGACCTTTCCCCTCTCTTTTGCCACGTCACCACCTACAAGAATCTTCCCTCCCAAGTTCTCACGACCTGTCACCGAGAAAGAGACCGGGGAGGGGAAAACCTAAAAAGATGATGTGGTCATGCACCATTTGATCAATTTTAGTACTTTACGATGCTCAAATATTCACACAGTCGTATATAATTTTGCAGGATCGAAATATTTTGTGTATAATTGCAGAGGCATGTGGTTGATTTCTACATTTCTGACTTCCCGTCTAGCTATGGTGCTAAGGTGAGTCCATATGTGGACGAATTTGACATCAATCAGTCAAGCAAGACATGTCTCCCAAGAAGGGTTAAATTAAAATTCAACCAAAATCTTGTTAGTTAGTTCCCCTTTAGTTTAATTGCTTGCAAACTGAAAGCTTAATAATAATAATAATAAAAAAAGCAATAGAAAAAAGAGTATATTATCACCTAAATGGTAGACATAGGAAAACGATGTTTACTACAGAGTAAAAACAAGACAAAGACAGACAAAGCAAATTTAAAACAACATTAACGCAAATAGCTTGTAATTCTAATCATAAGGGTTTCTCCTGTGAGGCTTCTTCCCAAATGGCCTTGATTGTACCCCAGTTTCCGGCAGGGATAGTATCAAACTGCTTAGGGTTTTTCTCAAATGGCATTCATTGTACCGCAGTTCCCGGTAGGGATAGCCTCCTCGACGTCCTCAAAAGCTTCCTTACGAGCGTCAAGCAACTTCAAGTCAATATCACTCTCCACACCACTCTCCAAAGCCTCTATGGTTTTTGTGACACGTCCTCGACTTGGTCCTTCTTCACTCGCACGTCCTTCAGTTGGAGCTATGATGTTGGAGGCCACTCCACTCTCCAAAGCCTCTATGGCTTTCGCGACACATCCTCTACTTGGTCCTTTTTCACTCGCATGTCCTTTAGTTGGAGCTGTGATGTTGGATACCACAGGAGCTGTGTTGTTGACCTCAATCGGAGTATTGTTGGGAGGGGGAGGTGGAGTGGTGGTGTTGGAAGGTGGTGGAGCTGAAGCCATGTTGATGTTGATAGACGAGCTGGAGCAAGTTGATGAGCAAATTCAAAGGCGGTGTGATCTACTGGCAATGCGTGTCTTTCTATATATAGGGAGAGGAGTGGGGGAAAAGTAAGGCGGGTGAAAGACCACGTAGCGAGGGGCTGGGCGAAGTATGCAGTGGGAAAAAGGTAGCAATGTGGGGCAGGGGGGAAAGGCTCACACGTATGCATGAATTAATAAAAATCTACTTCAATAAACTTGCTAAAATTAATTTTGGATGTCATAGTCTTAAACCATAATATACACACATTGTACGCGCACGCGCGCATGTAACGGAATGATTTAATGTTTCTTAACACTATTTTTTATAGCTAACTATTACTCTGTATATCATTGTATTAAGAGCATTGATTATAGTCTTATTAGAGTCTTGTCTCACATTGAAAATTGGAATGAGTGTATATACGAGTTGGTTGTTAGTGCCATTGAATAGTTTAACTTTTGGGGTCAAATCACGAATCACTCGATTCGTTACGGTTAGTATCAGAGTTAGACCTAATCCTTGATCTGGTATCACGCCAAGCATCGACACAGAAGAGTCCGGGTGAGCCCATCCAGATAAGCAAAATAACCCGACCGTAGTAAGGGTGTTGCGAGTTCGGATTGAAAGTAAAACTAGCATATTCAAGAAATTCAGCTTATTTTTTTTTGAATTGATCAACTTTAATTTTCATCAATTGAATGTAGTTAGAGAGAAGCTAGCTTTGTTCCAAAATCAGGTGATTAATTAATTAATCAGCCAATTTGAAACAACACCCTAAATGGTAGACATATGTGGATGAATTTGACATCAATCAGTCAAGCAAGATATGTCTCCTAAGAAGGGTTAAATTAAAATTCAACCAAAATCTTGTTAATTAGTGCTTGTTTAGTTTAATAGCTTGCAAAGCGAAAGCTTAATAAATAATAATAAAAACAACAATAGAAAAAGAGTATATTATCACCCAAATGGTAAACATAGGAAAACGATGTTTGTTATTGGGTAAAAACAAGACAAAGACAGACAAAGCAAATTTAAAACAACATTAACGCAAATAGCTTGTAATACTAATCATCAGGGTTTCTCCTGCGAGGCTTCTTCCCAAATGGCCTTGATTGTACCCCAATTCCCGGCAAGGATAGCACCAAACTGCTTAGGGTTCTTCCTAAATGGCATTGATTGTACCGCAGTTCCCGGCAGGGATAGCCTCCTCGACGTCCTCAAAAGCTTCCTTACGAGCGTCAAGCAACTTCTAATCAACATCACTCTCTACACCACTTTCCAAAGCCTCTATGGCTTTCGTGACACGTCCTCCACTTGGTCCTTCTTCATTCGCCCACTTGCGTCAGTGACGACCCGAAAGTTTACCCGATAACGGATCTGAAATGTGGAAGCAAAAGATGAAACCATAGTCTTTTGAAATGTAAATTATCTCTAAGACACCAATGTGACATTCCATGAGATCACGGAACTGGAGGAGAGGGAAAGAGAAAACTAGAGTTAAAACGGGCTAAATCCGTTAATTAAGGGCAAAATGGTCAATTCACAATTAAAAGGAGAAAATTGACTCTAAACAAGTCAAACAAGGTGAATACAACCTAATCTAATCATTTCACAATATTTCAAGAGGTTCCAAGAATATTGGCTAAGAATTCCACACAATTGCCCTTTTTCTGTTTAAGCGAAAACTAACACTATCTCACCAAAATATGAGTAACTTCCACTGTGATTGGAAAATGAGAATGGCATAGGTACCATTGGAAAGCTGACTCAAAATCCTTGAGTTTAGGCCCAAGAATCACACCATTTGGATAAGAAACGAAGAAATTATGACTCTTTGAAGTTGGGATTTCAGTGCTAAAACAAAATCTAGAAGGCTGGCGTATGAGGGCTGTTTCGATCGACCGAACTGGAGTGTCGGATGACCGAACTGGGCATTAATTTGCTGAAAACATGTTTGTTTAAGAGGAGGTTGTTTCGGTCGACCGAAATAGAGTTTCGGTCGACCGAAACGACCCTGAACAGTGCAAAAGCCTACTGGAATGAGTGATTTACTGTACAAATAATTTTTCAAAATAACCCACCAAGTATCGACACAGAAAAGTCCGAGTGAGCCCATCCGGATAAGCAAAATAACCCAACCGTAGTAAGGGTTTTGCGAGTTCGGATTCACCAAGAATTAATGTTACAAGAATAGGAATTGGAATTAATTATTATAGGGTTTTTACTTCTTAGTAGAGGCCATGTTCATTTGGGCTAAAGCCCTTTCCCCTCTCTTTTGCCACGTCACCACCTACAACAATCTTCTGTCCCAATTTCTCACGACCTGTCACCGGGAAGGAGACCGGGGAGGGGAAAACCTAAAAAGATGATGTGGTCATGCACCATTTGATCAATTTTAGTACTTTACGATGCTCAAATATTCACACAGGCGTATATAATTTTGCAGGACCGAAATATTTTGTGTATAATTGCAGAGGCATATGGTTGATTTCTACATTTCTGACTTCCCATCTGGCTATGGTGCTAAGGTGAGTCCATATGTGGACGAATTTGATATCAATCAGTCAAGCAAGACATGTCACCCAAGAAGGGTTAAATTAAAATTCAACCAAAATCTTATTAATTAGTTCCCATTTAGTTTAATTGCTTGCAAAGTGAAAACTTAATAATAATAATAATAATAAAGCAATATAAAAAAGAGTATATTATCACCTAAATGGTAGACATAGGAAAACGATGTTTACTACAGAGTAAAAACAAGACAAAGACAGACAAAGCAAATTTAAAACAACAATAACGCAAATAGCTTGTAACACTAATCATCAGGGTTTCTCCTGCGAGGCTTCTTCCCAAATGGCCTTGATTGTACCCCAATTACGGACAGGGATAGCATCAAACTGCTTAGGGTTCTTCCTAAATGGCATTGATTGTACCGCAGTTCCCGGCAGGGATAGCTTCCTCGACATCCTCAAAAGCTTCCTTACGAACGTCAAGCAACTTCTAGTCAACATCACTCTCTACACCACTTTCTAAAGCCTCTATGGCTTTCGTGACACGTCCTCCACTTGGTCCTTCTTCATTCGCACGTCCTTCAGTTGGAGCTGTGATGTTGGAGGCCACTCCACTCTCCAAAGTCTCTATGGCTTTCGCGACACATCCTCCACTTGGTCCTTTTTCACTCGCACGTCCTTCAGTTGGAGCTGTGATGTTGGAGGCCACAGGAGCTGTGTTATTGACCTCAATCGGAGTATTGTTGGGAGGGGGAGGTGGAGTGGTGGTGTTGGAAGGTGGTGGAGCTGAAGCCATGTTGACGTTGATAGACGAGCTGAAGCAAGTTGATGAGCAAATTCAAAGGTGGTGTGATCTACTGGCAATGCGTGTCTCTCTATATATAGGGATATGAGTGGGGGAAAAGTAAGGCGGGTGAAAGACCACGTAGCGGGGGGCTGGGGGAAGTATG